GCGGCGGCGGGGGGGGGGCTTGAGTTCCAAGTCTTTGCGTACAAGTGGGCTTCGAAGCAATCAATATACAGGCGGAAGCAACGAACTGAATTCACATGACTTAGATTAGATTTGATGCGATCTGTCATACAAGCATTGTATTAATTCTCTCTTATATTGGTATGAAACCAATATGATATGTATGTTGAGGTAAAACAAACTCTTACATCAAGAGTAAATGCCAGTTTTGTTTATATTGTACAATATGTTACAAGTAAGTCTAACGTTATAGAAAACAGACTCGTATTGCTATATGGTTATATGAGTTCTACATCAATAATATGCAGATCTTGCATAATATGTTAGTAGACAACTACTCTTTCTTACGGCTGTTAATTTACATTCCGTATGTTCATATTTGCTTGATTCTGCTATGGTACAAAAAAGTATGCTATACCATAAAACCTTAGCATATTATATACAGCATATGATGTTGTAATGCAGGGTGATGCATGGCCAGCAGTCCTGTACTAAGCCGCAGCCCCTGAAGTTCGATGTCTTTTTCTTAAAGTCTGGTCCAAGAGCCCAGGCTGCTCGAGCACGGCCCATGGCAGGCACTGGCTGTCACCTGTAGGATCCTGTTGGTACAGAGGGCTTACTAGGGTTCACTCCATGGCATCATGTCGAGTAGACCCAGCTCACTCCCGCAACTTGGGAATCTGATCTAAACTTCGGCCCAACATGAGAAATGTTGATCGGGGTTGGGGCTTTCAGGCTTTCGGTCGTGTTGGCATTCTTCCCCCCTGGCTGCCAGGAAGCAGCAACCTGGGCTGCTCACAATCTCATGCCACCTGGCGAAACATGGCGTCGTACTCCGAACCAGAGGCCGACCACACCGTTTGGTCAGATAATCCTAAACCCTAAACCCTAAACTGTAGAATGCTTGGAAGCCGAGCTCCAATCGCCCAGACGAGCCAAGGATGTGCAGGCCCTGCAGCTTCGCCCCCCGGGGTATCTGCCGCTCTGCCGAGGAGTGCAACTTCTGCCACGTCCCAGGCGAAGCCGTAATGCATCGTACTTCCATGTAATGCCATATCGAGATTTGCTGCAAAGACTGACTGACGTTGACGATTTGCAGGCCATGCGGCACCCGCCAGACGCCCCAGCAAGAAGGAGTGAACCGGGGACGTAGAAAAGGAACCTGACTCGTCGGTGGGCCCCACTTGTGTGTGTGTGTGTGTGCAGGGATGGCGATGAGTTCAAAGTTTTCCTCGGCCAGGAGCGGATGCGTCGCCAGCGCAGGCAGCTTGCTGTTCTATTCTTGATGGAGTCCGTCCACACGGGTACGACATCCTGCAGCATGCTGTAGCTGTCATTATGGCAATTCTCGGGACATTCTCTCCCAGCAAAGTTGTGAAGTGTCCACTCTAGCTACGGGCTGAGGGGCTAAGACTTGGCAAGTGTGAGTTTCGTCGCGCTCTGGGCACCGAGGTTGCAGCGTCTCGTATCGAGAACGCCATCTCCTGAGGGACTTTCCAGCTGAGATTCGTTGAGAGCGCTCGATCTCGATGAGGACCTAGTCTGCTTAGAACAGCCGTTCGGTATTGTGTGAGGACTCCTGAACTTCATTTCTTTTCGATATCCCGCCTGCAATGGGTTGTCTGCAACTACGTGTCCAAAGGACAACTTGGCAGACCTATAGAGTTCGCCTTGCAGGAGTGGTGTTTTGGGTGGCAAGCAGGTTTGCCGGCCCTGGATGGCAAGTCGCTGCCACGAGAGTTCCTTCACATTCAGCACATGGCATCTGCGCGTGAGTCGTGTACAGAGACCGACATGTGAATGCCGAAAAGAGAGTGTGTGGATTGTCCGTGGCTGTTCGACATAGTCTCTCTCGAAGACCGGAAGAGAACAAGGCTGACCTTCGGCTGTTAAGGTGCAGGGTACCAGGACAACCAGTCTCTGAGCGAGTCAGACATGTACAAACGCGCAGCATCCCCAGCTGGCTGGCGCAAAGGTTTGTTTCAGCAATCTGCATTGTCAACATGACGGCGTGCATTGCACTGTCGTGGCGGTCTTTCTCGTTAAGCATCAACGAGGTAGTGCAAGCGTCACGCGGAGCGCCTAGGCCGGCGCAGAGGCGCCACCGCCGCCCACTGCTCGGGCGCCGATGAAGGAAGCCTCGGTAACACGCGAGGCCGTCATGACACGGCCCCCTGAGCCCGGCACCCAGTAATATCGGCAGGTTTTGCACAAGCAATCCAGCAGGCAGATGTTCCTTATTGACATAGCACGCTCGCACACAAATCTTATATGTGTGCACATATGTAAAACAAGCTTACAGAGACAACACAAAGATATGTTTGCAGCATCTAGCTGGCTGAAATTGGCTGTCTAATGCTTGAGATAATTAATGCTTTAGGATATTGATGCAGGTTAAGAATTCACAAGTCATGAAACGTGTGAGAAGGAACCAGTTCAGCATGCTCAGTAATATCAAAGCAGCAGTAGAGAAGTAGTTTCAGAAGAAGATACATGTCTACATTATGCAGATGTACATGCATGCATGTATGCAGGCAGGTATGTATATAGGCATGTGGGTGGGCGGTTGGGCGCGTGGATGGGTAGGTGGGCGAGTGGGTGGGTGGGCAGGTGGGTATGCATGGATGGCTGACGGACGGAGGCACTCGCCGAGGGAGGGGTTGATGCATGGATGATGGATGTGTGTATGTGTGCGTATGTGTTTGTACGTGCACGTGTGTCTGTGTGTGTGTGTGTGTGTATGTGTTTGTCTATGAACCATTGCACGTGTCTGTGAATATGCACTGCTTGCCTGTCTTTTGTGGTGCCCTTGCATATGAGTGCGCATGCACATGGCAAGACGGTCCCATGACCATTGTATCCAGCTTGCCGATGTAAATCCTGATGCTTCTTGTCCTTGTCACGTTCATTGCTCCGTAAGCCTCGTTTGTGAGGCCTGTTGGAGAAGCTGGCGTGAAGCAGACGCAGGACATGCACTGGGGTATCAGAGGCCCTTGTGAGAGGTGAGGCACATCAAAAAGTCTCTAGATCTCAGAGGTTGAGGTTGGCGCACGGGGGAAAGGGTTTGCTTCGAAGTCTGGATTTCCAAAGCGCAAATGCCTAGAGGCCGTGCCAGGGAGGATGGAACCTAGGGGGCCCGTAGCTTTGTGTCACCTCCCACAAGCATTGAAGGACTTCACCCACCATGTCACACGCATCGGTGCGACACACATACATACATATATATATATATATACATTTATATATACATATGTACATACATATATATATACACATACACATACACACACACACACATATATATATATATATATTGATGTATATATCTTCATGTGTGATAACTACATGTAGAATATATACAGAGTACATATACATATATCTATCTATCTGTTTAGAGGCTCGCGTGCCTCACGTGTGGCAGCGAGCTGAAGCCGAAGCTCGGAGCGAGGATACATTGGAGGCTTTGGAGAAAGCCAAGGTTCGGGATCGGAAAAGAGCCGGAGTCGGGAGCCCAGCGTGCACGCGGTGGTTCGCCCGGAGGATTCGGGATGTGGGGGTTGGAAGCGGCTCGTATTTTCGAGATTATTCAAGCCTTGAAGTCTGAGGTTCGGAGGGTAATGTCGGTGCTTGGGGACTCATATCATCTGATCGTTGGGCTGGAGGAAGAGTAGGTTGACCGAGAGGACACAAACAATTAGGACAGTATGGTATGGTTTTGCAACTTGTACATAGCATATCTATCTATCCATCCTATCCTATCTAATCTAAACTAAAGTAAGCTTATCTAAATTTCATACAGCTAACCGCTTAACAATAGACCATGTCATAAAGCTTAAACCATTTTTGGTAGAGTACACTATGTACCATAGATAGTAAAGCAAGGTGATGGTGATAATATTGGTAATGCTCATATTATGAATAGCAATAGTTTTTTAGCGTAGATAGTAATGGAACAACAATAGTTATTGTAGTGTTAATGGTAATGGTGATAATGTAGTCAAGATCAAATTAATAATGACGATAATGCCAACAATGGTCATGATAATGATAATGATAATGATAATGATAATAAGAGTAACAATATTCATCCTCATAATAAGAATCAAAAACCAATAACAGTAATACTAGCAGTAATAATACTGCTGACAATATATACGCAACACCAGACACAGACACACACACATACATATATATATATATATATACACACATACATACAGACATACGTATCCAAATACCCAACCACAAGGTATCACGTATGCATACGATACATGCATATACATATATACAGACGATGTATATAGATACATGTGTGTATATGCGGGTGTCATATATATATATATATACACACACTCTTGTGTTCTACATGTGTATATCTATATATGTATACAAGCATATATATATATATATGTATGTACGTATATGTTATACATGTATTAATTATGCACACATGCACGGCATATACGTAAACACCTACATGTCTACAGATGCCATATGCTATAGACACCCATACACAGGTAGATACATACATACATACATACATACATACATACATACAGACGTACGCACTTGCATGCATGCATGCATGCTTACACATATACTTCCACACATGCATACATACATACATACATACATACATACATACAGACACGCATACATGGACACAACACACGGCTGTACAGCAACCTTTCTATGCCTGCTTGCCTACCATCGTTTCTCTTCTGCCTCCCTCTCTCTCCCTGGTTGGTCTTACACACACAGACGTAAAAATACTTACCCCCGCACACGGGCACGCCCGAGTGCGTCTCGCTGTCTTCCCGTCTGTGTGTGGTGCCCTCGTTGCCGGTCTGAAATCCACCTGGAACTCACGAGTTTCTGAAGGCTCTGGAACATGAATTTCTGAATCTTGCATGTCCGGACAGAATCCTTATGCGGTCAAGGTACAGGATGGCGAGAGCATTCGAAAGAAGAATGCTCGCAAGATGAAGATGGGCCAGGCCTTCCCCCACTGTGGTTCCCTAGGTCGTGCACTGCTTCTTTCTGGCATCTAGCACTGTTCAGGCGAACTTCTCGCTGAAGGATGATCGCGATTGCGTGAACCCCTTCATCGATCACTCCAACGATTCGCATGTGAAGGGCTACACCGGAAAGAGGGTCCTTTGCCTGCAAGTTTGTCTCGCGGCCGAACACCCGCCTTTGATCGACTCGCCAGGTGGACAAGCGGTCCTCAGTCAAGCAGATCAGCAACCTGAGTTTTACATCTTAGACCGTCGGCTTTCTGAATGTCCCAATTGATGTGGTTTGGCTGTGAATAACTGACCAAGCTACCTGCGCGCAGTGATGATTGCAATGTCCGGTCACATGTACATATTTGCGCGTCAAAAGACAGAATGGGCATCGAGCATGCCTTGCCTGCTGGGTCGCGCAAGGGTCAACTTCTCTTCAAACTGCCTCTGCGGAGCCTGCCGGGTCTTGAATCATGCGCCCCGTGCAAGACGAGCAGCACTGGTTGGTGTGGGTTGGCGTGTCGTGTCTGGCGGCCCAACAGGTACTTGGTCTCGTTTCCCGAACATGTTTCCTTCGCCGACTAACAGTAGGCTAGCACAGTGGCGCAGATTGACCTAGATAGAGCTTTGGAAACTTGCATGCAGGCTTCTTAGAGCAGCAGAAAGCAGCACATGAACTCCTGATCATGGCACCGCGTGTTTGCGCGACATGGAGACTGCAGACGTGGCTCGTCTTCGGTTTGCCACCACAGCTTCGGTCAGGGAACGTGCTAGACAGTTGCTCCTGATGCAGTTCTACCGTCATGCATCGTGTTTGTTCCTTTCCGTAGGGTTAGAGTTTAGAGAGTTGGGACATCAAAGATGACACTGAGGCTACAACGCCGCGGCCTGACAAGCGACTGTGCTCGGCTGTTGACCGGAAGTTGCAGCGCCGTTGCTTTAACATCCCCTGCCCCCTGCATTCTGCTGCTGCGTTGCCCCATCCCATCCCATCCCCTTATCCTTTTAGCCTCGTGAGGCCTTCCGCCCGGGGCCGACGTCCCCACTTGGTGGAGTCGGTCGCTCGCACGCAACGCGTAGTGACTCCGTGGGCCGTTCTTGCGGTGGAAGACGCATGACATGCTGGACTCCTGAACTGAGTAGCTCTGGCTACTTTGCGGGGTAGGGATCACAAAACCACAAAACATCAATTAAACACAGTGGATCAACAAAACAGCAACAGCATCAAGATTAAGTACCATGATTGTGATTGGTCTCATTTTGGTTGCGGTTATTGTGATTATTACCGTTACTACTACTGTCACTAGTAATACTACCTTTATCAGTAATATGATTAGGAATATAATTTCTATGATAATTCTTAATCTTGTTACTGTTGTTATGATTACGACTATTACGGTTATTACTATCATGACTATCATTCTAGTATTACCATTATTATTGTTACTACTACCATCACTATCAATACAATGGTTACTATTCTGTCAAGTATAGCAGTTGTTGTCAGTATTACTTTTAATGCTACTGTTAGTATATTTATTATTATGATTATTATGATCATGATTATGGTTATGATTATTTTTCTTATTATCATCATTTTTGCTATTATTATTATTATGAGCCTTGTCATTCTTCTTTGAATTAATAACATTGTGAGAATTGTTATTACTACTGTTACTCGTCTGCTGTTGTTGTTTTTGCTGTTGCTGTTGCTGTTGTTGTTCTTATTGACGTCATTGCTATTATCGCCAACATTTCAATTGTCACAACCTTTACCATTATTGTTATTAATGCTATAATAGTAGTAGTAGTAGTAGTAGTAGTAGTAGTAGTAGTAGTAGTAATAATGATGATAATAATAATAATATTGTTCATTATTATTATTGTTATTCGTGGTATTATTTTTAATGTTAATATTCTGATTTTTTAAGGCCCCTGTATTAAATGCCCTGGACACCTTGCCTTTCATCCTCGAGGCCCTCTTACTCTCAAGCCCACCGGTGAACCTTAAGCATAAGCTGGGGACACGGAATCCTACTGTTTTGTCGTTTGGGACCCTATACTTAAGGGATGTTAAGGGATCGTAGCCTACTATTTTGTAGGATTTGGCGATACAGGTAAACCCTAAGACTAAAACACTTCGACTTGCTGATCGGGCGGCTCTGGATCTGTTGAAGGGCTTCCCATGCTGCCCCCACCGTTAGGATTGGGCTCCTGCAAGACTTCATGTCTTCGTGACTGTCAGCGGCTGCTGCCGACTACACTCTGTACCTAAACCCTAAATCCTAAACCCCTAAACCCTAAACCCCTAAACCCTAAACCCTAAACCCTAAACCCTTCCAGACCACAGATACGGAATGCGATTCGTCTTGCCAGGGAGGTTGAGGAGTCAAGCTTCAGGAGTTTAGGGGCTTTAGGGTTGAGGGTTTAAGGGTTTCGGGGTCTAGGGTTTGGGGGTTTTGGAGTTTGGGGATGAGGGCATTGGGAGCTTTGGCTGAGCTTTGGGGTTACGTTTCCAAACAACCCTGAACCCTAAACCTTAAACTTTCCGTGGGGGCCTGTCCACCACAACAAAGCAAGGCACAAGAGTCCCATAAGTCTGGCAGAATGGACCCACGGAAGACAAGCATCTACTTATAACCCCCTGCTTGGGCAGCCGAAAAGCTGCTGTTCGAAGGGTTGGGCCCTATCAAACGGGCCATAATCTACTATGTTGCAGGGTTTGGGGATACAGGTAAACCCGGAACCTCTAAATCCCCAGACCCCAAACCTGACATAATAGGTAGGACGTATGTCAAGCCGTCAGGCTCCAAGTATGCAACACACGCCGACCTTTTGGTGTGAAATTCTGAAAGTTTAGGGTTTAGGGTTTTAGAATCTAGGTCTTCAGGGAGGGTTTAGGATTTTAGGGAGTTGGGGTTTAGGTTGAGCGGAGCTAAAGGGTATTCACTTGGGGATTCTGTAAAGCCCCAAAGATCAACCCTAAACCCCTAAACGCTCCTAACGTTGAATCCTCAACCCCTGGTAGCCTTTGGAGCCATAGGGTATGTCGTTGCGGTGCCCAGAATCTTATGTTCGTTGAACCCCTGCATCCCTAGAAGCGAACTTGTTCAAACAATTTGGCGGGATGCGGGATACGTATTGCAGGCTTCAATATGGTCACATACGGTTGCACTGATTAAACCGTTTAAGCTTCACAGGGTTTTAAAACGGTCTCACAAGCTCGTCGTGCTACGGTTTGACAGTGTTTTTGGCCTACAAGGCTTTGACGAGCCTTTGAATAGGGTTTGGGGGTCTCTTATACTATAACTATAATAAGGAACCCCAAAAATAGTATAGCCTTAAGGTATACAGAAGCCTAAACCCGTATCATTATTGTACCCTTGCTATATATGACCCTGTAAAGAGCCCTTCATCCTTCAAGCAGCCCTTTAGGGAACCTTTAAAGAGCCCTTTGAGCCTAACTAAACCCCAAGCCATAAGACCCTGAACCCTAAATCCCAAGAAGGCCCGGAACAACAACAAAAAAAACAACACCCCCTTTTTAAGGGAACCCCTTAAAGGCACCCCCCTTTTAAAGGAAGCCTTTTAAGGAAACTTTGAGGCCCTACGCCGTCCTCCTCTTGGCCGGGAGCCGGGGCTGCCGGTGCTTCCTGCGCTTGGTTGGCTGCCGCCGGTGGCTGACTTGCCTGCACGGTTTAGGGGTTTAGGGTTTAGGGTTTAGGGGTTTAGGGGTTTAGGGGTTTAGGGGTTTAGGGCTTGGGGTTTAGGGTTTAGGGGCTTGATGATTAGAATAGGGTTTTGGGCTCCTTTATAGCACTATGCCTGCACGGCTTAGGGGTTTAGGGTTTGGGATTTGGGTTTAGAGGTTTGGTGTTAAGGGTTTAGGGTTTGGGGGTTAGGGTTTCTGGGATTAGTGTTTAAGGGTTTAGGGTTGAAGGTTTAGGGGTTTTGGGTTTAGGCTTTAGAGGTCTAGGGATTTAGGGATTTACGGCTGCCGCCGGTGGCTGGCTTGCCTGCCACCGGAGCAGAAGGTCCCGAATTTCCAGGATAGGAATTTAGAGTTTAGAGGTTTCGAAGCGCAGGGCTTGGGGTATCGATTCAGGGTTTTAGGCTTGATGGTACAAGTTTTCAGGGTTTAGCAGGCTCTAGGGCCTAGGCGGGGTTCGCCAAGTCATCAGCCGGGGATCATATGCCTCGTCTTTGAGGATGGCACCAAAACCCAAAACAGCACCTGAACCTTCCCTTCACGAAGATCATACACCCTTTCAAACCAAACCGCACCTGTAATTGTACAAGCCCAGTATTCAAACCCATTTAAAGTAATGTTTGCCGAAACCCTTAGACAGACGCTGATAAAACCGCATCTATGAGTCCCAGGTATGAACCCTACTTTAAACCCTAAGCACTAAAGCCTCAGTAAGGCACAGGTATAGCCCTACTTGAAACCCAGCACCCAGTACCCTACTCTAACCCTAGCATGAACAACTGAAGCCCTGTAACACTTTGGTAATAGACCTTAAGGACCCTCAATTATGGGAATTGTGGTGCAATCCTTATTATGGATAATGTAGCATGTACAGTATATCTGAGGCTGAAACCATGGGCTCCTAGTTTGGGCCCTTAACCCTGACATCCTTATGCATCTACTATATACCCTATATGCACCCTTAAGGGTCCCTAGAAAGGCCTAAGGGTCCATATTTGGGGCCCAGACTTCTAATCTTAGAGTATATTATCAACCGGATCACCCTCAACCCTAAACTCTAAACCCTAAACCCCTGAACCCTAAACCCTGAAACCCTAAACCCTAAACCCCTAAACCCTTAACCCCTGAACCCTAAACTCTAAACCCCTAAACCCTAAACCCTAAACTCTAAACCCTAAGCCCTAAGGCCTCGACGGCCGGGTTCGCCTGCGGCTGCTCGGCCTCGGCGTTCTTTCCTCGGGCGCTGGGCATACATGAGATTGAATCCTTAAAGGGTTAGGGTTTAGGGTTTAGGGTTTAGGGTTTAGGGTTTGGGGTTTAGGGTTTACTACAAAGGTTTTTTTGGGGGCATTCATATTTAGAACAGGGTTGTGGGGTATCTTTTACTATAATTGCTTTTACTATAATTGTAATAAGGAGCCCCCCCATAATAGTATTGGTAATTATTTAGGCCCCTACTTTTCATGGCTTTGATACGGTTTAGGGTTTCGGGTTCATCATTAGAGCAGGGCTCCTTGTAAGGGCTTCTATGTGAGACAAGGGGTGTTATGGGAGTTTAGTAGAGGGGCCTAAATAATCAGAATAGTCTTCTGGATATCACGGTCTCATTACATATAAGAATCCCTAAGAAACACTCTTTGAACTTGTTTGGCCTTCTAGACTACGACTTTAGGGTTGTGCCCGGTCGGGGTCTGTATAGCCGTCGTATAAGGGTTCGGGAGGTGTGTACACTATTGTAAAAAGGCTTGCGAGATATCTGAGAGCTTGGGGTTTAGGGTTTCGGGGTTGTGCCATCGAATGTTTGAATGAAGCCTAAGAAGGAACCCCCCAAAAAAAACGTTGGTAATAAGGCTGTTGTAGGGGACCAAAGGCAGAATGCCAGACAGACAGACAGACAGACAGTCAGACAGACAGACAGACAGACAGACAGACAGACAGACATATGAGATTGTCCCTTCAACTCCAACCCTACCTGCCCCACCCCGCCCGATGCCACCTCCTCAGGGCTTCAGGCCTGAAGCCGCCTAAAAACCGGAGCTGCAACCCTCCACTAATAACACATAGGCCCTGACTCCCACCTCACCCCCTCTGCCAGACCAAGATAAACAACCACAAACTGTAGATCAAACTCCCTAAACCCTAAGCCCTCAAGTAGACCAGAACAAACCCATCCAAACCCAAAGCTCCAACCGAGACTCTGTAGGGATGCGCGATGACATCATCGGGTCTGCCTGGAGACGAGAAGACTCGGTTTAGGGCTTAAGGTTTGAGGTTTAGGATTTGGGTCAGAGGCTGGGGATTCTGGGTTTCAGGTGGACTTGGAGGTTCATGGGACTTAATAAGTATGGTTATAAGTACCTTAACTGGGGATACAAGCAATCATAAGTATAGTTGCCTTTTGTTATAACACTAGATGCTAATCATAAGTATAGTTGCCTCATTCATAACCCTGGATGCTGAGTCCCATAACCTGAAGTTGGGCTTATGGTTTAATAAGCCGGTTCGGGGTCAGGCTACTCGAAATCTGAGCCTTTTCGCCCTAAACCCTAAACCCTATCAGAGCCATATAGCGATACTCTAGTTGTGGTTAAAACCAACATTTACTTTTTTTACAACATCTTACGATCCTGTAAGTAGGCTTCAGGCACATCAACAGTTTCCGGGCCTATCACCAAGGCTTCCCTGAACCAAGCGTCTTGCCCCCCTGCAAAGACAGAGTTCAGATGACACTCTGCTGCAGAGGAAATGTATGTGCTTCAGCGATCAAGACAGCCTCAACGAATACGAGAACCCTGAACCCTGAACCCCCAAATTCGGAACCCTGAGCCCTGAACCCCCAAGCCCCAAAGCCTGAACCTACGTGGCCTCTGAAAATCCTGAAAACCATACGATCGGGCATCTTAGGGGTGACGAGGTCTTACTTCCGAGCGGAAGTTTCGGGCGTGAGGGAGTCATGGGTTTGAGTTTAGGGTTTAGGGTTTAGGAAGTTTATGGGTTGTCATAGGACGTTTGGCACAAATCTGCGAAAAGATCACCCGAAGCTAACCGAGCATGCGGAGTTTCGCAGGGTTCCTGTTAACTCCAAAAACGACTCCGTCCGACCTACGTTGAAGCCTCTGCCCCGCAACCCTAAACCCGGGCTTCTAGGAGTCAATAATTATAAACTTAAGGACCCTAAACTATGAGAATTATGACATATTCCTTATTGTGGGTAACCTAAACCCTAAACCCTTAACCCCAAACCGCAACATGAGCTTTTCCGCAGCAGGTTTCAGACAGGTAGTCTCTGTGACGAAACGACACACGATCCAAAATCATAACAACGAGAGGACCCTAAACCCCCAAACCGTAGAATCCCCAAGCCCCGTGTGCCGAAGCCCGTCATCCCTACTAAACCCCGAAACACGAAATCGTAACCCCAAACAGCCCAAACCTCAAGCCACACTTACCCTAAGGGACCATGTACCCAAACAGCAAAAGCCTAAACCCTATACCCTAAATCCCAAACCCTAAACCCTTAATCCTAAACCCTAAACCGTATATACTATACTTGGGTACAGGGACCCTGAGGGTTCTAGAAACCCTAAAGGAGCCTTTACCCTCCCAGGAACCTCGAACCCCCAAACCCTAAACCCCTAAACCCTAAACCCCTAAAGCCGAAGCCCCCAACCCCGAAACCTTAAATCCCTAAACCCCTAAACCCTAAATCCCTAAACCCCTAAACCCTAAATCCCAAACTGCCTAAACCCTAAACCCCTAAACCCTAAAACCCTAAACCCAAAACCCCCCCCACTCCCGCCTAAACCCTAAACCCCAAACCCCTAAACCGTAAATCCTAAGCCCCTAGACCCTAACTCCCTAAACCCTAAGCAGGCCTCGGAAGTAGGGTCGACCCCTAGCGGCTCCGTAGCCAATAGCTTGGAGCCCGCCGGCCTTGTTGACCTGCCAGTAGGGTTCAAGGGTTTAGGGTTTTGTAGGGACCCTAAACCCTAGGGGCTTAGGGAATTAGGGGTTTAGGGCTTTTAAGGACCCTAAACCCTAAATCCTAGGGGTTTGGGGGTTTAGGGTTTAGGGTTTAGGGGGCTTCGAATTCCTTCCTTCTGCTCTGTGGGTTTCGGCTTAAGGCCTATAGAGGCTTTAGGGGTTCATGGTTAAGGGGTTTAGGGTTTAGGGTTTAGAGGTTAGGGTATGTATGCGTGTATGTACGTAAGTATGTGTGTGCTTGCTTGTTGGTATGCAGGCATGTATGTATATGCAACGTATGCACGCGAAATCTGGGACCCCACACGACGAAAGGGTAGTCTACTGCCCCCCCCCCCCTAAGGGAACTCTTAAACCAGCTTAAACCCCTATGTTTCTCTTTTTTGGGGGAACCCTTAAACCCCCTAGGTTTCACCTTTTTTGGGGAGCCCTTCAACCCCCTAGGTTTCCCCTTGAAGCCTCATGATAGAACCCCCTAAGTACCCCTAAGGGGTTCCCTTTAAGGGGTCTACTTGCTCTGAAATCCGAAAGTCTGGGCATGCACAGCCGATGCATCTGTAGCGGCTCAAGAACTATAATGAGCGTCATAAGGGTTTAGGCTTATAGTCGGGTTTAGGGTTTGGGGTATATTATGGTAGGCTTGAGGGATCAAGCTTCACCGTGTAGTTGTGCATGTTAACAAGAGCAGACAAAAGACTTAGCATGAGCTTGTGTGACCTGTAGACGCAAAAGAAAACAACCACATACCGGAGGCAAAAATTACAAAGTAAGGGCTAAGGGGCGTAAACCCTAAACCCTAAACCCACACGCCTAAACTGAAACGCAACTCTAAACTCCCCTGGAACCAAACCCAGAACCTAAACCCAAAAAAAACTCGTGCCTTAGCCCTAAACCTTATAAACCCTCAAACCCTAAACCCTAAACCCCTAAACCCAAAACCTCTAAACCCTAAACCCCTAAACCCTAAACCACTGTAAACCCTGAACCCCGAAACCCCTAAAACCCTACACCCCCTAAACCCTAAACCCCTAAACCCCCCCTAAACCCTAAACCCTAAACCCTAAACCCCGCCCCCTAAATCCTAAACGCTAAACCCCTAAACCCTAAACCCTAAACCCCCCTAAACCCTAAACCCTAAACCCCGAAACCCTAAACCGCGCGCCTTCTCACCGGCCTTTTTGATCATCTCATCGAGGCTAAGTGTCCTCCCATCGTCGGTTTTCTCTGCAACTTTCACCTGCAAAGAATGGGGCAGAGGGATGGTTTAGGGTTTAGGGGTTTAGGGGTTTAGGGGTTTAGGGTTTAGGGTTTAGGGAAGGTGTGTGTCGAGGCCACATCACTACCCACGGAACCATCCGAGACTCGACAAAATGACTGCCTCGGAGGTGACAGGAACTTCGTCCTCCTTGTTCTTCTTGCCTCGCGGGACGGTGAGGACCATGGTCAAACCATCACACCATCGGCATCATAATCGCAAGTAGCAGCAACACCAACACGATCATCGTCGTCACCAACGTTAAACGAGCGCAAGAGATGGGCATGAACATAAACAAGAAGATTAGGATCATCATGGTCATGATGATGATATTAATGATGCTGTTTATGCTACATATGAGGATGAAGAAGATGATGATGAATATGAATATGATGACTGTGATGATAATGATGATGAAGAAGAAGATGATAAATGATAATAACATGATGATGATGGTTCTGATGTGTTCAGAATGATGATGACGATGACGATTATGATGGCGATGACGATGTTGATGGTGCCAAGGACAACCGATGCTGCTTCATCACCAGGATATAATTATAAAATGTGGATGTTTATCAGCCACATAGTAGTCGTGATCATCAACATCAAGCTCACGGATGTTGACAACGGCATCATCGGCACCATCATCGCAGGAAGAGTGCACACAACATCTTCAAGTCCTACAACCAGTAGCCTGTTGCCTCCCACTACCCCTTAAGTTTGAACCGATCCTACATACCCGATAAATCTAAAACCCTTTGATCAAGATTCTTACAAACTCTCAACAGATTCTGGGCTGAGCCGAGTGGCTTGATGCCGCCAAGAGGGCAGCACCGGGCGGCACAGCGCCTGCAGCGGCTGCAAAAGAGTTTTACAGGGGGTTTTCAGCGGTCCTTAAGTAGGGAAACAATCAAGGTCTAGGGTGTCTTGGATAGTTTTGGGTTTTTAGAATTGCTGTTGTTCAGGGATCCTTCCTCCCTACCTCTGTGCCACCTCAAGCCCCAAACCTTGAACCCTGGTCGTTTAATAGAAACCCCCTAAGGGCTCCTTTATAATCAATATAAAAAGGAGCCCGAAGGACTAATAATGAATAGTATGGGTAATTATGAAGGCTTGTCTAGTACCTTGACCGATCTGTCTATTCTTATTCTTTGTTTACGGATTAGGATTTGGGGGCAGGACAACCCGAGAGCCCTTGAACCCGCATGAACACACAACCTGACCTTTCGAGAAACTGCAATACACCATAATCAAGGAATATGCCTTGGGCTTGGGCTTATAAGACCCGGTGTACACACAGAACCCTATACCACACTATTGTGACAACCTGCTGAAGTCCTCTTTAAGACACGGCTTGTAAAAACCCTGCTCTGTCCTGATAAACCCCAAGAAAATCTGTAATGCAAGCACGATCAAAACCCTAAAACCATCCTGCCAAAGCCTGTCGAAGTCATTATAAAACCCAAAGTTCTGCATTAAAGGAGGCATTACAGCCTGAGTACAGCAGTACCTTTGAGGGTCTCTTTAAGGGTTCCTTTAAGGGCTCTTTTTGAAGGGTTTACCCTAAACCCTAAAGCCAAAAAGCCCTAAAAGCCCTACCTCCTTAAAGCCCTTGGGTGGCGGCCTGCTGCTTTTGGCAGGACGGCGACCGGCATGCTACCTGACCACAAACACATTAGTGCCGTAATGAATGGTTTAGGGTTTAGGGTT